TGCCGTTGCCCTGCTGCAGCTCCTGGCTGCAGCTCCTGGCTCCAGCTCCTTGTCACACTTTATGTACATGAAATATTAAAGGGAAATGGCTGCCAGCCGCGACTGCAGCATTTGGCGACATAAACAAATTATTTGATGACTTTTACGCGCCTTGGTCCTTGCGTCCTTGCCGTTCTTTTTTTTCGGTAGGATTCTCGCTGGGTTGCAAGCCCTGGCCACTAAGTAAACTTTTATGGCAGCCATAAAATAGGCAAAAAGGGGCGAACACCCACAAACACACACGTGTGTGTGTGTGTGTGTATTATAGGATGTGGCATAAAACCGGGGCAATCCTTAGCAGCATATTTTGTTTTTTTTTTCTGCAACCGCTGTGACATTTTTATGCTAAGCAGTCGCCAAATTATGAAAATTCATAAAAAGCCAAATGTTATGGCATATTTCCAGACAGAGATAGATGCAGCCACGCATAGAGATAGCTTTGGGCCAGGCTAAGGCTCCCAGGCTCTCGGCAGCTTTGCCAATTTGAGCTGCTGCCTTTGGCCCGCTTTCCTCGGCTTTATCGCTTTCCAACTAAAATCGTTGGCGCTGAGACTCGTTTATCATCGCGAAACAACAACAACAACTACAGCTGACAAGGCTGGGAAAAGCCAGTTAGGAAAAAGGCTGCAGGGACATAGTGGATAACTCGATTAGCGGCCACATATACAGACTTTGGCCTGGCACGAAACATATTAATCGGGAAAGAACTTGAAGTTAAGCCAAGGTTTGTTTAGAACATACTCCTTAGGCATTCCCAAGGATAAAGGATATGTTCATCAAAAAAATTAGGATGTTCTCCTTGCAAAAGATACCTTATTATCGGATCTAAACTGCCTTATAATATTTATTATTTATATTATTCTGAAAAAGTCTTAATTCTCCTGGGAAAAGATACCTTCCATTCGGCTCTAAACTCCCCTTAAAGTCATCAAATTACTGTCACTTAATTTAGTGTATTTGTGACAGGTTTGGACCCTCTCTTGGCCTCTCAGCTAGATGTCATGACTTTGGCAGTAGTAAAAATACTACATATATCTACCTGTAGTGTCACCTTTTGAACTGCGACGACCCAAATCGAATGGAAAAGTTGCGAATTGTGTGCCAGAGAGGCTGACACACATCAGGAGCCTCTAATGAGACGATAATGAAGCTGTCCAACCGAACTCGAACCGAAACCCAAATCAGGAAAACTTTCCTTTCCCTCTCGAACTTGCCACTTAACTTGGCCGATACAGCAGCGGCAGTGGTGGCGGGTCATTGGCAACTATTTTCTGCGCCGCATAATGTTCACAATTTGTTACGCATGCCCGACCTGCCACGCCCCCTGCTCCAGCTATGACCCCCACCCATGCCCTCTGCGGTTGCCCACTGAAGTATCAAAAATCTGTTTGAAGTTAACAGAGAGAAAAAAAAAGAAGAAAATACTGGAGGACCCACCCTCGAAGGACAGCGCCGAAAAAGGGTTGTCAGGTCCTGTGTAGGCTTCATTCGGGAAAATTTTCTGTGTCTACTTTCGGTTTTATAATTAATTTTAAAAAGCTTTTAATGGCTGGCACGCGTTTTGTCCTAGGCCCAGCCAGCAGCTGCTCTAGGCCCTTTTCTAGGCCCAGTTTCCCGTCCTTAGCCAGGAGGTAAAGCTGCCCTCTCGAGTGCTCCTAATTGACTTGCCAATGGAAAAGGATTGCGGGGAATTGGACACCCAGGATAAGCGGAAAAATAGGATAACTAAAATATATCTATATTTATTTTTAGGATATTAATTGTATTCCCAAGGAAAATAAACCAAATATTGGTGGTAAAGGGTTCAGGAATAGAGGGAAAAGGAAGTACATCCTGCAACCAAGGACTTTGCTTACTTTGCCGTTCGATAAGCGACACACTATCTCCCGTCTCGAATGACAATATAAGAGAAGCTTGTGCCCCTACACACCTGTCGCCCACATACATTTTTAGGGAAGTTTTTCCAGTTCCAGCAGTTCCAGCCGCTGATGATGATGCTGCTGCTTGGATGAACATTTTTGGGGCCACTTTCAAGTCACTAACAATTTGAGTGATGCCCGGGGGCCGTCAAACTTTTAATAGCCGAAAAATGGGGAACAGCAGCCGCAACAGGAGCGCAGGATCAGGGATCAGGAGCGGGGACTAGATGAGCACAGGACTCGGGACACGTGCGTCAAGGCCCGGGGTCCTTTTTGGGTTCTCTGGGCTCTCCGGGTATCCTGGCAAGATGCATAAAATTGAAAACACACGCACATGGGGCAAGGTCAAGGCTCCAGCAACTGCTACAAAGTAATTCGTTTCCGCTTCCGCTTCATTACTTCCGCCGCCTCGCACTCGGAAAGCACTCAGGGAAAAATAAAAGCGAGTGGGGGGAGGAGGAGTAACAGTAAAGTAAAGTAAAATAAAATAAAATAAAATAAAATAAATCGAGACTGGTAAATAAAATGCGCAATTGACGGGCGTAAAAGGAAATGGCAGCAGGCATAGGCACACTCACCGAGGCTGCGGCGAGAAGGATACACAAGGATACACCGACACAGACGCATCGTCACCTGCCATTGCCAAATGTTTATAAGCAAATACAAACAAACAAATATGCACAGCGAATGGCGGCTGCTGATGATGACGATGATGGCAATGGTGGGTCGGAGGAGATCCTGCCGTAATGGCGGCTAATTAACGCGTCCTTCGACTCGAACTTGTTGAGTGCACCCAAAAGTCCTTGGCTCTGACCAGAGTTCTTTTTAATTAAAAAATGCTACTCTTTTTGATGGGGAGAAACACTGGAGATTGAGGAAAATTGGGAAATTTATTTAAGCAGAGATAAGGTCTTAAACGAATCTATTTTAATTCGAAATCAAGACTTTAAAAATAACCTTTTTGTATAAATAAATTAATAATGAATAAATATACAATGTATAATCTCCAACTTTCCTCACTAAAACTCCCTTTAAATATACATTTTCACATGGTAAATTGAAACTCGGCCTTTGGCAAACTGATTAACTCACATTCAGCTATTATTGGCAGATGAGTCTATATATACAACACACCCACATACTCAGGGCGTTGAAAGGATTCCCCAAGGTCTGAGCCTTTCAGCCAAATACAGATCGAGTGTACGAGTGTGTGCTCCCCTGATTTGTACAAATAGTTACTGCCGCCTGACGCATCCTTCGCAAATGTGGCTAAGCCGAAAAGTATACTAGGTGGGGCACACATCCTGGCCATATCCTTTGGCTCGCTCACCGTATCAGCGTGCAAACTATAAAAACCAGAAGCTCAATTATCAAAATGCTACGTGTGTTTGTTTGTTTGTTTGTTTGCCTCCCAGTCCTTGTGCCGGGAAGCAATCCTGCAGATGAGCGGGACAGCGGGGAATGTGGAATGTGGGAAGCTTTGTCCCTTTGGGTTTTTGTGTGTGCGCTCGCCTTTGACTGTGCAAATAGATAAATTTATTTATTTTATGCCCTGCTGCAGAAACCGCACACAAACAACGGGCAGGGTCGAAGGAGACGGCAACGGCAACGGCGATAGCATAGATATTCTCCATTCTCTAAAATAAACCAGAAGCCAAAAAAAAAAAAAGAGAGAAAAGGGACCCAGGACCAAGGAGCAGGGTAGCCGACAGCTGACTTTAAATGCCTTTATGCTCACAATATACATAAATTGAACATTTTCGAGCTGCTGCTGCTGCCTCGAAGGGGAGAGACACTCTCGCTGAATTGGAAATCGCTTACACAATACCCAAAACGGAATAGACTCCGGCTGGGTGGAAATAGGTTTGGAAAAATATTAAAAAATTCAATGAAGCTTGCAGCTTTCCCAAAGAAAAAAGCTAAAGAAGAGAAAAGAATAGAAAGAAGGGAAAACCAATTCAAAGAAAACTTTGCAAGATTAAGCCATAAATAATTCGACAAATGCTACATTTGTTTGCCAGAAGAAACCATTAAGTATACATAATAAATGCACAGATCTGGCTGGCAATGTGGCCGCCTACTTACTCCACACTTACTTAGTCGAACCCTAATCGATGGCAGGAAAGTTTTGGCGCCACCGGCAGAAAGAACAACAAACAGCACAAAAACACAAACACAAACAAGCTGGAAAAAACCTTTAGCGGAGATGACAGGAGCAGAGAGTCTGTCTTTTTATTCGCATATACACTTATGCTCTCAATGCCCAAAAACACATTATAAATTATAGTTCAGCTGCAGGCGTACGTCGCGTATACGCAATGTGCCTGACAATGGGCCACATTGCGTATACGACAGGAAGCCCCGGAAAGCTGAGAAAGCTGAGAGCTGTAAAAAACCATAGCCCCGGCACGTATATGTGTATATTCCAGAGAAGAAAAAAAAAATAACGAACGGGAGGGTGAGCAGTCGTGCGTATGTCTTTATATATCGAAAACTTTTTGCCACTTTCCTCAGCTCAACTTTTGTTATGCTCGCTTAGCCCCGGCCATGGTTCTCAGTCTGAGTCTGCGACCTGGCCCAGCTATTTTTGAACATTTCTATGCTCTGCCTGACTTTCCCTTTCACCAGGAGCACCAGGAGCATCAGAAGCACCAGGAGCATGTGGCTGCGTGTGTACAAATATGTTTCAGCTCCAGTTTCAGCTCGTGTGTTTGCCTACTTTAAACGCAAACCGATCGGAGGAGGGCAGAAAAATGAGTGCACATGTGTGCTGTGGCCATGTCAGACCCACTCGTCCCTTTTTTTTATGTGCCTTTGTGTGCTACAAATTGTTTGGCCTGGCAAATTCCTTGCGTTTTTGTTGAGGTTTTTATGGAGTCTGTCTCGAAGATGTCCATAGAGAGATAGAGTCTAAAACTAATTTGCGGCAGCAGCATGAGGGAAAAATGGGAAAATATTGTTATTGATATATGACCAGGTGGGTTGGGGAAATAAATGAAGTGAGCTTAGCTTACCTTACCTCTCTCTTTGGTCTACTTGCAGGTAAATGGAGCCTGGGCCCTGCCTGATGTCGTTTGTGATTTCTATATAGCCATGGATGTGATATGTTCTACTTCATCGATATTCAACTTAGTTGCCATCTCCATAGACAGGTGAGTGTCCGCCTTCGAGGAGATGCTAAACCTAATCCTTCATCCTATTCGATATTATTCTATTTATTTGCTCCTTTAGATACATCGCTGTGACGCAGCCAATAAAGTACGCCAAGCACAAAAACAGCCGCCGCGTTTGCCTTACGATACTGCTGGTTTGGGCCATATCGGCTGCTATCGGCTCACCGATAGTTTTGGGCCTCAATAACACGCCCAACCGCGAGCCGGACGTGTGCGCCTTCTACAATGCCGACTTTATCCTGTACTCCTCGCTGAGCAGCTTCTATATACCCTGCATTATCATGGTGTTTCTGTATTGGAACATATTCAAGGTGAGTGGGAATGGAGATATAGGATAAGGACTTATTCTTAAAGCAAAAATAGTGAGAAGTAAAGTCAATAGTCTCGTAATTGGTCTTCAAAAAAAAAATAAAAAAATAAATCACACTCAAAACCGCAGCCAATCAAAATCGGATTTTGACGAGCCGTGTGGAATCAATACCCTGCTGATCCCTGCTGACTCCTGCACAATTCACAATTTGCAATTCCTGGTTTTCGGTTGGTTTTTTTTTTTTTTTTTGTTTGCGCACATTAGCTTCTGACTGCTGACTGCTGACTGTGAGCGAATATCCGGAACATTCAAAGGATGCAAGCCTAGCATGTCCTGGCTCTTATCCCCCTACTCTCCTCTCTCTCTCTCTCTCCCTCTCTTTAGGCCCTGCGCAGCCGGGCGAGAAAGCAACGGGCGGCCAGAAAGCCCCATCTCTCGGAGCTAACGGGCGGCAGCGTCATTGAGAACATTGCCCAGACCCGGCGCCTGGCGGAGACGGCCCTGGACAGCAGTCGACACGCCAGCCGGATCATGCCGGACGAGCCGGCCACTAACACGGCCAGCGGTTCCAACGAGGAGGAGGACGAGAATGCCATCTCGCCGGACATCGATGACTGCCATGTCATTGTGAACGACAAGTCCACCGAGTTTATGCTGGCCACCGTTGTCGAGGAGACGGGCAAGTGAGTAGACGTAGGACTGCCTGAGTTGGGGGGTCTGAAACCTGATAGGAAGGATTTTCCCTCCAAATTGTTTTTCCCTTTTTTTTTTACTTTATCAATATCTTTTGTGAGTCTGCAATCTTTATTTAAAATTATAATAAACTCGAGGCACTCTTTAATATTATCCATTAGGGATAAGTGCTGGCGCAGCCCTATCTGCGATGGCCCTGCGAAAAGTTCGTTGAGAATCGTCTCGCATCCTTGGCCACCTGGGCACGTGCCACAAGCACGTAATAGATAAGCCAGCACTGAGTCTGTTTTCTGTTTTCTGCTGAGTGGCCTGCAGACTGCAGCAGCAGCTACTGCCAAGGCTTCTCCCAAAATTGTCAATCTAATTGCTGGCCTCGTTCCGCAACGGCGCCACTCAATTGTCGGCATAAAAGGAGCACTTCCAAAAGGCAATTGCACTGCCACTTGCACTTGCTGCTGCTCCTGCTCATCCTGGCCATCCTGGCACTCCCCATTCAGCTACAGATCTGCCTTATTCCCGCCGCTGCCATTGAGTGCCAGCATTAAGCGCAGTCAATTAGCATCCTGATGGCCTGCTTAATCCAATAAGGACACGAAATGAAACCATTGATGACAGGCCGACTCAAAGGACGACGGAGGCAGCGACCGCGAAAGAAAGCACAAAAAAAAAAAAAATAATAAATCTGAATAATTCAATTAATGCGTCACTTAATTAAAACTCAATCTTGACATTGCGCCCCGATTTCCTGTCTTTTTTTGTGTCCTTTAAAAATGCCGCTTCCACCGATGCCGCCATGATGTCCCGATGTCCCGATGTCCTGATGGAATACACTCTGCACCACAGCAGCGTTGTGGCCCAGATCACCACACAGCCGCAATTGGTCATCGCCGATCCGAATGGTAATCATGATTCTGGTTATGCAGCCTCAAACGTTGACGATGTCCTTGCAGGCGTGGGCGTGGCCGCTGGCTCCAACGCCCCCGCCTCCGCCTCCTCCTTCTCCGCGGCCGCCATCTCAGCAGCGCCGGCAAGCAATGGCTCCCCGCCGGATAGTCCGCTGCCCAGCGGTGCCACCCTGCAGCGATCGAGCGTTAGCAGCCGCCGGAACACCGCCGATGATTCGCCGAAGCGTGGCGAGCCGGCCCTCAGGTCAGTCGGTGTCGATAACTCCAGGTATTTGGCATTTCAGTTAAAGTAGAAAATAGCCCTGAAATAGAGTCATAGTGCCTTCGAGGCAGTCCCTCCCTGCATCAAGCACTTGAAGAGCATGTCTTAGCTACACAATCAGCAGATTAAATCCCTGAAATCCAAGCCTAAACGCTGCACAAGCTTCCATTACTTAGCTCACCCAAAGGACCTTTAGGCACCTCTCCTCTCTACCTTGAAAACTAACAAAGCCACAAAATGGGCAATCTGAAATCTGAAAATAGTGCCATAATACCTTAGTTTTCCGTTTCCCAAGATTGCGTTTTCATTTTCCGGCATTTGCCAAACTTCCGTTCCGCAGCGTCGCCATGAAGCCATTGTCCTTTGTCCGCTATGGGGTGCAGGAGGCCATGACTTTGGCACGCAACGACTCAACGCTATCGACCACATCGAAGACGTCCTCGCGCAAGGATAAGAAGAACTCGCAGGCGTCAAGGTGAGTAACGGCTACCATCGCCCCTAATTACAGTTATTAGTAACTAGAGTTTGTTCGGCCTTTCTTGCTCCCTTTTTTTTTACCATGGCTTATTATCCTTGCCCCGTACGCTTGCGTGTCCATAGATTCACGATATACAAGGTGCACAAGGCCTCGAAAAAGAAACGCGAAAAATCGTCGGCCAAAAAGGAGCGCAAGGCCACTAAAACACTGGCCATCGTTTTAGGTAAGTTCAAGGGGGCGTTTTGGTTTTGGTTTTGGTTTTGGGTCTGCCATAAAATCCGTAAACCCCTCGCCTGTAGGTGTCTTCCTGTTCTGCTGGCTGCCCTTCTTCAGCTGCAACATCATGGACGCCATGTGCGCCAAGTTCAAGAAAGACTGCCGGCCGGGCCTCACGGCCTACATGCTGACCACCTGGCTGGGCTACATTAACAGCTTCGTGAATCCGGTGATCTATACGATTTTCAATCCCGAGTTCCGCAAGGCCTTTAAAAAGATCATGCACATGGGGTGATTGATCACGGGCATAGCAATAGTAACCAGGATGTGGCAAATGGAATTGGAAATGGATATGCAGAGTAGAAAAGTGTGCCAAAAGCAAGCAATCAACGCACCAAGGATCTCAGCCCGCCACTCAATTAGGCATTGGGTTTTAGTTAAGTCTCAGTTACTTGGTTTGTTTTCTGGGTTGTTTCAAAATAGCATTAAGCACCAGCTACTTGTGTAAATAGATCTGTATATAAACTCCCCCTAGGATACTACGTCCAATGGGGAGAGAGCATTACGAGCTGTAGGATAGGTACAATTTTTAACAATTACATTTAGCTAAACCCAAAGTCCCCCACACGCGCTAAACACACCCCCAAAAGTAGCCATAAGTTGTGGTTATAGGATCAGCTAGCACCCTAAGATACGATTCGCTTTAACAAAATAAACAGAAGTAGTAGAGTTTTTTTGTAAGCTGCTCCCGGACCTGTCACATATCACGAGCAGCAAGCTATATGCCCACCCACGCCCCATCCTGCCCCCCAGATCAAAAAAAAAAAAGAAAAATAATACAAATGAAAACTAATAGGTAAGCTTAGAAGAAAGCATATCTTTAAGGCCATATCGATACTTGGTGTCGGTGCCTAGAGTTAGTTAGTTATCGTATATCGGTTAACGGTTATTGGTTAACGGTTATCGGTTATCGGTTAGGTTTAGGTAGAGCAAGCGGGGCCTCGAGGTCAGAGCCCTTAACCACACACACTCGCACACTGCACACACGACGATGAATTTTCTGGATTTGAAACCGACTAGCATTTATCGTTCACAGACAGAACCCGTTGGGAATTATATGCCCAACTTGACACACACACACACACAAGCAGACTTCACAAACCAAAATGAGCCCCACAAATCAAAACGAATTCGAAGAGCCCTGACCCCGATGATGATGCCCCCGCTTACAGAGCACTTTCCGTTTGACTTTCAGTTCAAGTAGCTAATATATATAAATATATATATATATTCATACCTAAGAAGGACACACGATGTAAGCGCATTTAAAACCCAGAGGTCGTACCTAGGCTAGACACTTAGACTAGGAATTAGGGTAAGCAGCGGCGTACCTAGTACGACACCAAGGAGCGGAGAGAATGTATTCGTATTCGTTACCTATATCAGATATGTTAGTACCAAGGAGAGGCCACGATGCATAGCAAGGACGAGGACTAGAATCAGGGTACGTAGAGCGTTGCTAGAAGCAATGTGCAATGGCAAGGAGGAGAGGAGCTCCAGCTGAAGACCGAACATGGCATATATATATATATATATACCCATCGCGTATATAGTCTATAGGGTAATATCAAAACAGAGTTTTTTGAAACACGGACCAAGCCCCCGACAGACTAGATGCCCCCGGGGATCTGGCCTAACATCATCGGCATCGGCTGGCTGAGAGTGGAGTCAGAGTTCGAGTTTGGCAGGTCACGCTGCTGGGAGCACGCCCCTTGCTCTCAACCAGGATCAGGAGCAGGATGGAGGAAGCAAGGCCAGATCCGGCCGGGCATCATCATCATCATCTGTGGGCCTCGGCTTCGTCCTTTGGTCCGTGCTTTCAACAGCCGTCCTCTTAACTGTTTCTATGTGACAAATAATTGATAGACACTTACTCCTACATGTGTAGTACTTTATACAAATTCCATATATGATATGAATGAATATTGTGTAGCCGTAAGCTCGGATTATGTGTACTTAGGCTTAGGCGGTGCCCGGCCCCAATTTCCATGGAACTCGGGTACAAGCTCAACTGTTTTTATACTTTCCTAAGAACTCCAGTGTATCTCGGTGTGTGCATGTTTGCGTGACTCGGAGTGTGTTTGTTTGAGTCTCTTTTATTTTTGTGTCTTTAAGGTAAGCATAGAGTTCTAGTGGCTAGTGACTAAGCTTAGATTAAGACTAAGGAAACGGCTCTACTTTCAGATCAGTGCGCAGGCCTCCTAAGTTAGGTTCTTCCAAAGAAAACGCTTATTAATTATAGCTAATCGGTAAATGTGGAACTTGTAAGCCACAACACATCACACCAAAAGACACCACAAAGCTCTACAACAAACCAAAACACTCCAAAACACTCCACAACACTCCTAAAAATACACCACAAACACTCCAACAACACCACAAAAACCTTCAATGTTGATTTATCGAAAGTGCAGCCTGAGTTTCCGAGGCGTTGAATTGTTATCTGTTATCGTTATCGTTAATTTGTGAATGATATAGCGTACTCTTAAGACCCCCGCCGCATAATCACCGGCAAGGACATATACACATAGCCAGATCTCTGTACCAATTAAGCATATATTCATATGTATCTAACATTAGCGAAATCGCGAAAGGAAAACTGAAAAGAAAAACTATTTTAAAGCAATGAGAGAGCAAGTTTGTTTATTTTTTTTTCTAGAGAAATTATGAGAATTATAAACTAAATGAAACCGTAGGCTAAGCTCTGAGAAAAGCAAACTATTTCAAGAATAATTACCATAGCTAATGAATGTAATAATAGCGAATAACAAACAATAAAGTACGATACCAAACAGGAAGAATAAGAATACTTCAAATAAATAAAGCGAAACTGAAAATATTTCAAGGCAAAAAACAAGGAAGAACTTTTCAATTTTGGGAAAAGGAAAAAAGGAAATGGTAAACTGAAAACTGAAAACTGTCGTCTGGGGTTTCGGTAAGTACGCAGCCCACATACAAGCCTACATATATCAACATTTTATTGCATTTATATGAGCTGATAATAAAATTCCAATAAGCAGGCAAAGAAATAAAAATACTTTTGCAAGACAAAAGGGAGGGCGGGCGGATAGTGAAATCAATTCGAACAGCGCTCACGGCCGTCGCCACCTCTTGGGAAACCAAAACCGTAACTAAAAGCGTCTAAATAGATAAACGCGCGGCCCACAGGATGTGGCAGCCACCCAGGCCACCTCCCACGCTGCACCCCCGCCACTCGTCATCGTCTAATGGGCACTCAGTCAGACGGCTCGAAGGAGGAGGCAGCTCCAGAGACGGCAATGGAGACCAAGACACAGTCCGGGTATGAAAATGAGAATGGGAACGAACTGTAGTGAGTACGTCCGTCTGTCTGCTGTCCGCGTCTTAATATGAAGTGGCCTGGCACTGAGAGAAAAAGGCCAGCAGAAAGAAATAAATAATAAATAAAACCCTTAAAGTTCCTTAACTTAATACTAGACCTGCCAAGTTTAACCCATTTCCCACTTCTTATCTCTCCAAAAATATAAATAATTATCCCAAAATTCTAGCAGTGTATAAACACCAATTTTGTTTTCGCCTTCTTGGAGCTGTGTCTTGGCCCAACCATAAATACAAATGTAAAAAGGGCAACCAGAGCCTGACCCCGACTATGAGGCCACGCCTCCCCTTCTCCTTTGCCCGGAATTCCATTGAGCTTCTCTCACAAAAGTTGTTCCATTCGATTCGTCGGGAGTTGTGTGTTGTGTGCTCTATGTCCATAACTAATTCGAACTAAATGATGTACTAAAGTGTTGAGGGAACACGGATACTCGCCCAAGCATACACAACATATATATATATATACATTTATATAGATATATACATATGTGTGTGTACATCCTGGCTCGCAGTGCGTATGAAATGTTTTGCGCCTGGGAGCGATATCTTATCGTTACACTCACTGGGTGGCGATAATTGACAGACCATTAACGTTTGGATTGCAAAAGCTAAAGTACAACTACACAGATATCCATTCCCAGGCCGGGCAATGGGGGGGGTGTTAAAGGCATATGCCCGGAGTCGATGTGTGTGCGTGTGTGTGATTTTCTGGGCATTACCAAACGAGACAGAGAGCTGGAAAATACCTAAAACTCTTTCACATTAAAGGCACAATCCGGTTTAAACTGCTTTGCTTGTTGCCAAGACCCTAACCATAACCCTAACCCAATCCCAATCCCCTAGCAGTTAACTTTGGGCATCTCTCTGACCCGGAATGGAATTCTGGCAACCGGAAACTCAACGGTGCAAAGTCAAAATCGAAAAATATGCACATGACCAGAAATAGTTTAAATACAAGGCTGAATATTAATATGTGGATGTAAGTGGGTCTGGGGATGTGAGTGTGAGTGTGAATGTGAATGTGGCTGTGGATGGGCCTGGTCCCCAGGCAATGGGTTTAGTGCAATCAAGCATGGCTTCTCCAGTGGATTACACTCCCAGCCTGGCCTGGCATCGTTTCAACTTCACGCCCAACGACTTTTCAGACAAAAAGGAGTGAACAGAAGGGCTTCCTTCGAGTGGCTGGAATCTCTTAAAATTATGAATATAATCAAGGGAGTGTAGTCATTGTAGTCATACTGTTCCGTTAGGGTCAATATAATTTGACAGTCATCCGATTATGGTTGATGGATCCCCCTTTTCTGCTTGAATTTTATTTTATTCTTCTTCCCTGGCTAAAAGTCTATACGTAGCAGGCCCTGTTAAGTTCAATGTCAAGTTTCTGGCCTCAGGGTACACTGTATCAGCTGTCTGAGCAGTGTAAGTAGAGTCAGAGTCGTTCGTACAGAAATAAAACAAAACAAAAAAAATCTAAATTAAAAACTGGCTTCCCATAGCTCATCGCTCAATATACAATAAGCCAATAGGCCATCGCTCGCCTCGAAAACCGGGGAACTCAGAAGTGAAAACCATGGTGGAGTTTGCCTTTGACCTCAAGCCGTTCTTCCCACAGGATGCGATCATTCGCATTCAGCCCCATCATCTGCGTCCCGCAGGATCTGGCTGCAAGCTAAGCCAGATCCTCAACTCGATGGGACAATTCTCGGCCTTTGCCCAGGGCCTGCGCCAGCCGGTGACCGTGGCCGGAAAGCTGTCCGGCGATCAAATGGTTTACCTAATAGCCGACAAGGATTCTGGTTGCTTGGCCGTCACCGGGTTGCTCAAGGTGGGCACCAAAAACCTCTTCCTTTATAATGAAAAGGGCGTCATCCAGCGCTGTGATCGCACCCCAGCCATCTTGGACTTTTATGTCCACGAGACTCGCCAGCGCCGTGGCCAGGGCAAGCGGCTCTTCGATCGCATGCTGGCCGATCAGGGCTGGAAGGCATTCCAGTGCTCGGTGGACAGGCCCTCGCCAAATATGAGAGCATTCCTGGGCAAGCACTATGGCTTGGTGCGCACCATACCGCAGGTCAACAATTTCGTACTCTACGAGGGCTTCTTCGACGATCAGGTAACACCGTTTCCTGGGCGAGTCCGTGATGTGTTCCAAGGCAGAAACGGCACCAACCAACCAATACTCAATACCCAAAACAAGGACATATACAAGCATGGAAATGCACGAGGCCAGATGCTAAAGCAGAATCAGAATGGAAAGCTTCAGGTTGTTCCGGCTTCAACAATATTTGTGAATGCTCCGCGTACCTCCACCGTGGCCGATATCCTGGGCGTTGGCGAGCGTATTAATAATCGTTCTTCCAAAAATCAGAAATATTCCTAAATTTATTAGTGACGCCCGGCAATTGTTGGCCGTCATCAGCCATGTTGAAAGCTTTCACTCTAATTATTGATGTTTAAATCTTTAAAAATTTTTATATTGAAATTGTTAATAAATGCAAGATTTTGTGGATATATCCCTAATTAATGTTTATAATATAAAATAGAATCGAACTGATGGATAAATATTTCAATCGGGGGCCAGGACTGATTGGCAAATGACCAGCAGTTGGTCTCTACGCACACACACACACACACCCAGACCTATACTATATACAGAAAATTCGCCAGTATTTGCATAGTTTCATTTTCATTTAACTTTTATTTGCCGTCACGTCGCCAAAAATTGCCAAAAATGCAAAATGTCCAGCCAATGATTGCTGCTACTCCCCGCCGCAGCTCTCGATGTCCTGGATCCTGGCTGGCTGCTGTTGTTTGCTGTGGATTGTTTGTCACCGTTTTTGGGTGAGGGTTGTGAATTGTGGGATTGTGGGTGTGTAGCTGTGAGTATGGCTATAGATTGTGGCTGTTGTTGATTCGTTTGCATTGCCATAATATTTAATGGGCAGTCAAAAGTTGGGGAAAGGCTTTGCCTAAAACTGGTTCCTGGCAGTTATTATGTCGCATCATTCGAACAAAGTGTCCGCACATGCGAAGCAAACAAATTCCAAAAGGGGAGCCCGAAGCCCCCGAAGCATCGACGGGTCCCTGGGTCCAGTCATAGAACAGGCATCGAAGAAACAAATGCGGGGCGGAAAAACCAAATGAAATTCAGTTTAGCCAAGAGGCACACACCCAAATACACACACACAGGCGCAGAAACGAACACAAAACACGAAACACAGTGGTGCAAATATTAAAATTCAAAATTTTTGTCACGTGTCAAATGCCATTTATGCGCTTCGTGATCGCACGCGGCTTGGCTAGGACAAGGACCCAGGCTTCAGCTTCAGCTACAGCAGCAGACATATATATATATATACACCGACAAAGGGGGTAAAAGGCTTGGGAGAGAGGGGGCACCACAAATGCCGGAAACAGGAGACGCACTCAGGAAGTTGGACTACAGCGGGGCAGAACCTTCCAAAGTCGAATAGTAAAACTATTTAGAAATCTATATATATCATATATAAATCTGTATGCATCATATATAACTGTTATAGGAACAATAGGTAAATTAACAAAAGTCTACATACCCTGGTAGTCATTTATTTTGTTGAAATGAAGAACATTTCAATAAAATACTTAGCTCAGTCAAAAATGCATGAAATTCAATTCGGAAAGCTGTTCTAAGTTGGTTATTGCATAAAATTCAATTCGGAAAGCGGTTCTGAATTAGATTTTCTAAGTTTAACCAAACTGCATACTACGTTTAGTGATCCAATTGCCATCTGCAAGGGTATACACACTTCGGCGTGTCGAAGTTAGCTTTTTTTCTTGTTATATATTCTATATTTATAAAAAAAAAACCCCGAAAGTCTCAGCTTTATTATCATATACCGATTGCACTCGTCCGTCGGCCATTATGTAAACTTCAAAACAGCCAAGTATAAACTCAAAACAACTCGAAAAATTTTGTTTTCTCTTTGTTTACTTTATTGTTTTTAATTAATTTATAACTTACACACACACACGCACACAAAACCGAACCTGCGGCAGCCTCGGGCACATTGGCAAAGGGAAAAGGAAATGGAGGAAAAAATAAAGTGATTGCAAATTTGATTTTCATTTATGATTTTAATTCGATTTGTTTATGTATATTGATTTATTTCAGCATATTTATTTGTGAGTTTCTTTGCTTTTCCCTTTCCTCCTGCTTGTATTTTTGGCTCTTTAAAAGTTGTGCATTTTCTTGTCTTTAAAATGATTATTTATGTAGTATAGTATAGCCACCTCTGCATATGATTAACATTACGTATACGCACTCCCTCTACTAGCCATGTCACATTGCGTATACGCAGTGTTGTCTCTCACAGGCAGACTGTCAGTTATGAGGAGGGAGAGCCCAGCGAATAACATTTCACCTGAAAACAGGCACAGTCGCTGGGTAAAAAGCCGTTGCCAGGCGATTGACTGACTGACTGGCTGATTGACTGCTGAATGACCAAAAAAACTGGTAGGTGCACTTGACAAAAGCCAAAGGCTCATCACCCCCGAGGACCCGTCGCCTTTGTGCGATTGTGCACCCGGAGATTCGGGATTCTGGGCTCTGGAGCCCGCTTTAAGGCCGCTTGGTGGTGGTCCAATCAATTTACCCGCTTCTATTTATGCCCTTGTTTTTTCCGCCACACTGCTGCAACCCACAGTTGTGGGGGGTGGGAGGGGGAATCATTGCCAAGTGCCGGGCCACGTGTCACTGAGTGACAAATGCCATTTGTTTCCGCTTCCCCAACAGGAGTGTAACAGGGACCACGTTTAAAAATAGCCAGGGATCAACGGAGGGATGGATGAATATTAAATTGCGATAAATAAGGGAAGTGGCAAGCCAGATGGGGGAGGGCAGGTCCTCCCTGCCAAAAATATATATTTATATTTATTCTTTTTGGGTTGTCAGAGGTTGCGTTCGGTTCAAGTGCATGTTCAGAGGTCCTTCTTCGGGCTAAGACTGATATCTTTGCCTTGTATTTATGATATATATCAGTCAAGGATAATCGCTATTCCTCTAAAACTAGGGATTTTTGTTTTTAATTAATTAATTAAAAGTTTCCTCTGAATTCCATTTAATAAAACCTTTATTTTAAAGACTGAGTACATCGTTACTTGCTGCCCTATTTTTTTATTAAAGGCTATTTCTAGCATTGTCCTAATTGATGTCCCACTACCATAGGGTCTCTGCCGAGCCGGAAGCAGCTGCTGTATCCTTGCTGCACTTCCGCAGCAAAAGTAAGCATGTAAATCACTTAAGAGTTCTCCGACTGGAGGGGCAGGTCGCGGTGCTCTAAAAGAGCTCATAAAGCAAAAATGCTGTGAAAATCATTTGTTACACTACGCGTATGGATAACTGTAAAGTGCCTGCGTCTCCATCTCAGTCTTCTCTCTCTCTCTCTCTCTCTCTTCAGCTCCAGCTCCTTCTCTTTCTCTCCATCTAGCCCTCTCGCTCCCACTGCTGTAACAATAATGTGCACTTATTTTTTATGGCAATCATTTAAGACAAAAATGTAGCAGCGGCAAAACGAAGCTGAAGTAAAACAAAGGCAGCCAAGTCACTCAAAAGGACGAACAGAAAGTGAAGAACCTTCTTACAGAAGTATTTTTCTAAAAGTCCTTCTATATATATGTATATATATATATCTAAATGGGGCGTAGGTGTTGGTCTGTGTGTGTGTGTGTAAGTAGCTTGAGAACGAAATGGCGCCGGAAATGTTTGCTGAAGTTGGTGAAGCAGCCCAATGTGAAGGCTTCTCTCCCAGGACGCCGGCAACTCTGATGAGCGTCAATCAAGGAAATTGCTACTTTTTCAGCAATTTTTCACTCGTTCTCAGTGCGTTGAGCCGCTGACGTCAGCCAACCGAAGTCGAAAGCCAACTCCGTTTGATTCTTCCGGCAAGGAAAGTGGGGCATATGCTGAGGAAGGAGTAAAGGACTCAACCAACTCAACCACTTGTTGCCACACAGGTTAATATTAATACAATCATAAAACCACACCAAAGGTAAAGAGAGAGAGAGAGACAGCGAGCCCTTTAAAGAAGGATTTATTTAAATAATTTATGCGAGATTAATTTGTTTCAATTTTTTGGTGAAGAATTTACACCAGGAAATAGGCATGAAATATAGGACATAAATTTAATAAAAAATATAAGAAATTTTAAAAGAAACCCCGGAGAACTTTAAACTTAATCATTTAATATTATTACAAAAAAAAAAACTCTTTCCCAAAGAGCTGGTTAAAAAGGTCCCAGAACCCTGTCTTTGGGGTTCTCCCTTAGCGGGCTTCGCTCTTTGCAGGCTGCGGCTGTCACTGGCTTTAACTGTGAATGGCAGCCACGCCCAAGGCCAGGCCTTACTTTCAGCCCTTTCAGTTCAGTGTCTCTCTCTCTCTCTTTCTCCTTCTCTTTCTCAAAAGGGAAATTAATTTGCGGCTTATCGAAACCATAAAAATTTTCTAATCCACTTTGCGTAAATAATCGTGAGCGTCAATTCAATGCCAGCAGACATCAGTGGCAGTGCACTGCAGTGGCACACCAGTTTCACTTACACACTCGAACACTCGAACACTTGCACACCCACTTATACACTCATACACTCACTCGTACACACACATACTCTGGCATTTCCACTCGCTTATATCTGTGGCATACTTTTGCGGGCTCCAACTGCGAGTGCAACGCGGCGGAAGATGAGGGAAAACTTTCCACTCTGAGGCGCCAAAGTCGAAAAGTAACTTTTTTTCCGCTGTTTAGCGCAACGTCAACAAAAATTGTGAGCAACAGCAGCAGCAGCAGCAGCAGCAGCTAAGCCCTAGACAATATTACATTTGTTGACCTCAGAGGGTCTTGTTGAAGTGGGTAACGTCATTGCCTTAGGTGGCGCCGGTTGCCAGAGATGGCCAACTTTGTTGGCTGCTCGAATTGCAACAGAGTTTGACAGCAACAACCACAAAAAAAAAGGGGAGGAAAAAACAGAAACAAACACAAACTGTAGCTGGAGAATCAGGAAAAAGCACCGAGCCAGGGCAAACAAAAACAAAAATTATTCGTTTTGGCCTGCCACAATTTTTGCCACATTTGTCCAGGCAGTGGACCAAGCTCACACGTAGAAAAATCGGTGTCTAGCTTTATCTGAAAACCTGCTATATATGTATACCATAGAAACTCCTTAGAATGCAATTAAACCAAGAATTACTTTTCTCTCAGTGCCTGTAGCCTGTGTCCGTTGCAGTGCCATTAAAATTTTAGCCCAATCAAAAGCTAAAACCGAAGGCGGAGCCAGGGAGATGGCCAAAAATGGGAATAAAATTGTTGTTTAGGAGTTGCCACAGGCTGGGGACACCCACACACATGCCGGGTCCTGAGACAGCTGGATAAGTCCCCGGGCATATGTGCAGAGGCAAATAAGATAAAATTGTTTGCTCTCTTTGGGGAAATTCGGGACATTGCTATTGAGTGGAAGTAATTCTGGAGGCAGGGTCGCATTAATACACTCGG